GTTTTTATGTCTTTAATCCACTTTGGAGTGATTTTTTTTTCCACTTGGCTGGACCTGTACGTCTCCTGTGTTAATGTTGGTACATGTAATATGATAATTCTGTACTGTGGAGATCATTAAGAGTCGTTGTCGAGTGAAAAAATCTTTCGCTAACACWGTGTTGACRGTGAACCAGAAGTGCTGGACCGGATGTCCGTGGCATATAGGCTATTAAGAGTTAAAAGAGACCAGGTTTGATAAACAATGTTTTTTGATGATCATAATGTTGTTACCTCTGTTCTTCTCAGTACAGCTCATCATGACACTAAGCTTTACAATCAGTTGTGTGTCTCAAACCAGCAGGGAACCAGAAACCAGAGCCGTGTCACCAAACACTCTGCAAACATTAATAATGAAATATATGGTGTACATTTCAGCAACTGGTCCTCTGGTTTCTCCTCACAGAGCCACACGTCTGACGCCTGCGTTCAAACCCGCAGAGAGTTCGATAAGAGGAGGTCCAACCAGGACCGCCGGCGGGCTCGATCAGCTGACCTGGAGAAGTTCAAGCGTTCACAGCTAACGGTAGTGGACGACCGCTGGATGACTGAGTACATGCGCTGCTTCTCTGCCCGGCTCAGGTAGAGCCCAGGTCCACAGAGACCCCTGAGAACAGGTCGACTCATCAGGAAGTGTTTACAGCTGAGCTAACAGCACAGCCTGACAGGCACGTTGTCTCAAAGTGGGATAAGTGAAGAAAGTAGYTGCTAATACAGATTAAATTATATTATCACAATCATCACTTATAAATGGATCTTATTTAACAAAACAAAACCTGTTAATTCAGAACTTAATCCTGGACTAAAAGGAATCTGAGCTCTAGATCACATCAGACTGTTTTATACGAGAGCGTAAAACTYTCATTTTCCAAAAAAGATGTGAGTTCTGTCCACACTGCAGCAGGTGTTTCCAAAAACAGGTTTCCTGCTGACGCACAGAGCTTTTCATGAAAAAAAAACATTACTGTTGTATTCCCCGCTGCAAAGCTTTAAAAACTTTTCATTTTGTAGATCTGGCACTCTAAACTTTTAAGACATGAGCTTGTTTTACACGTTCACTTTGTTCCCCAGAAACCATGTAAGACCTCATTTTGTAATAACAGCGCYTTGTGTAATAATGTAATAAAATCAGGCTTCAAAATGTAATAAACTCACGTTAAAACCACATTACGTAATAACTGAGACAAAATGTAATAAAAGTCTTTAACACATGTAATAACATTAATACATTTTGCGGCAATTATTACAAAATGTGATGGTGTAATAATCTGGTGCATTATTAACAATCAAAAACCAGTATTTCTGTTCATCCTAATCAATATACTTGTAATAACTGTCATGTTGCAAATACTACATAATTAAATCTTTATAACTTTGGCCAATAAACACAGAATTTCTCATCTTTTATTTACATTTTCAGTCAAACTCTTGTGTATTAATCTAAAAGTCGTTCAAGGCAGAACGATAAGACGTGAGGAACTTTMTTCATCCCAACACACTGGCTTTCAGAAAAATGAAAATCTGTGCTTTAAAAATCAAAAAGGATAATGTTTCTGTTGGTATTAAATGAAAGAAGCACATGATCCAACAGTTTAATGCAAACAGAATCACAACAATTTCCTGGATTTAAATAATGTCTAATATTAATCAACCTCTTGTAATTAAAAAGGAACACATTAAACTATATAAACAAAGTTGTCTTACTCAGAGCAGTGCCAGAGTTTCCACTAGCTCCAGGACAAAATCACCAACTCAAACACAGGGTCAAAATGAAAACTGAACAGCAGGGGGCGCTTCTGTGAAGACTGGTTTTAGAGCTCAGGTACATCTCTTTATGTGCTGTCAAAAATGTAAGATGCAGCCTCACCTACAATTCATGCGTGTGATTAATACAGATTATTTTTGCAAAAATTACAGATTTTTAAGGCTCATTAAACAGGTAAACATCTGAAGGGTGTGTACATGTACAGTATATTTTGGGAGTTGTCTCCAAGGTGGAATAATTTCTGTAACGGATCAGGACAGTAAATCTGAAAATGTAAATAAAAGATGAGAAGTTCTGTGTTTATTGACCAAAGTTATAAAGATTTAATTATGCTGTATTTGTAACATGACAGTTATTACAAGTATATTGATTAGGATGAACAGAAATACTGGTTTTTGATTGTTTATTACATAATGCACCAGATTATTACACCAACACATTTTGTTATACGTGCTGCAAAATGTAATAATGTTATTACATAATGCGTTAAAGACTTTTATTACATTTTGTGTCAATTATTACATAATGTGTTGTTACAAAATGAGGTCTTACAAACCACAATACATGTTTGAACATTTAACCCCGTCACTGCCACCTGAGAGGAAACTGTGAATCTTTGGGGGACCTGATGCTTTTTTCTCTGTATTATCATGTTATTATAGACATTTTGACACAGAATGGGTACTTAAATGTTTTTGTTAAAATAGTGTGGGCAGAGAAAAAAGTAAAATATAAAAATCAGTTTAAAACCACAGCTGGTGTGATGTAGGACATGAGGACTGCTATGATTTTATATTGGAGAAATTCTTCACTTGYTTTCTTTACTGTTGTTGCTACACCTTTATTGAAGCCTGATACARTGGTTAAAGAAAATGAGATTATTATTAATTGTTAAAACAATCAAATAGTTTTATCTTGAATGGAAAAATAAAGTAAAATGGAGCACGGGGACCAAATCATGGAGCAGWGTGAAGATTTTAAGAAAAAAATTGACTCAAATCAAGTATTTCAAGAATCTTACCAAGTAAAATGTTCTTACTCCACTGGCAGAAACTTTGACTTAATTAGAGTCAAATTTTCAGACTAACAAGACAAATAATCTTACACATTCTGAAAACAAGATGATTATTCTTACACAATCAGTTCTTGTTTAGTAAATCAGTCTGAAAACAAGATCAAAAAGATGTTTTGGCTGATATAAGGTTTAAAACTTGGTTAGGTGGACAGTTTTTGCAGTGAATCTTTGAAAGCCAAAGTTTCCTTCAGCAGCAGACTGCCATCATTAACTGTTTGGAAGAAGAGAAATAATTTGAACAATATTTAGTGAAGCTTGTGTGAACGGGTTTGGAAACGATGAAATGTTTTTCTGTGAGGAATAAAAGTGCTCAGTGTCGTACAGTTTAAGGTACAGTTTGTGTTTGTTTTGTTGGTCTCACTAAAGATTGTAATCATGGGGGTGTCACTAAGCCTCACTGACCCCCTGAGGGATAAACTCCTTTTTCTACGCTTTGTAATATTTGTCAGTTTTGTCCTGATGCATCTCAGTAATCCAGGTAAAAAATCAAAAAGAAAAAAATAGTATAGGTCCTCTGAACGGGTTCTTCTCTAATGAAACACTTCATCTCTTCTCCAAGAGACTTCTTCAGTCTGAGAGTTTCAGGCAAAAATGGCCGAAATGGGTTTCCTCCGCAGGGTGGCTGGGCTCTCCCTTAGAGATAGGGTGAGAAGCTCGGTCATCTGGGAGG